AGACTTCATCCAGCCAGAGGGAACGATCACCGACCGTATGCAGCTCCGCGATCTCCTGGCTCTGTATGCTCCACCGCCCCACTCCCTCTCTGGGAACGGGTTGTGTCGCTAGTACGACCGTCACGCTGTGAACGGTTCAGGATCGCTTCCTCTGGCTGGATGAATATTATGCCTGATCCATGCACTACTGCAGCTGGGGGCTCCCCGCAGCGCCACGCAAATTTCTAAATTCTTCCCTCTCGCGGAGAAAAGAAAGGTCAGCTGCAGCTGAGAAGCGTAATTGTAGTAAAATGGCTACGATAATAATGATAGGCCTAATTATTATTATAATGAGACAAACATGCCTCATCCTGTCACAGTCAGCCCCATTGACTGGTCAGCCACAGGCCTACATGCAAGCATCTATTAATGATTCAGCAGTAAGAATCACTGTCCCCTGTGTGGGCGGAGACAGATATTTTGTTAGAAAAAATGAAAAAGTTACGTCCGGTCAAGCTTTGTAAACAAGGTGGAGCGTTGCCCACGTGAGAAGAGCCTCCGTCAGACCCACTTATACCGTGTTTAGCAGCAAATGGAGGCTGTCAAGTAATAAGGGACATACATACACATACATGTACTGCAAAAATGCATTCATTGTGTATTCCCCCATATTAAACAGGATTATAGTATTTTAACATCCTGCTGTTGCAATACATTTCTTGTGAATTGTCTCCATAAATAATTGCACATATCTTTGAATATTTCTAGATGCATATTTGCATGATACATTAATTCATTAATATTGATTTAATTTGTAAAATTTTCTTATTGACTTGTTGAAATTAAAACCAAATCACATGATTAAACCCTTTTTCTGATTACAAAATATGCTTAAATTTCAAAACACAGAATTCAGAAATATTAACACTGAAAACACAATCTGGGAAAAAAATAAAAGGGAATCTGGCAAAAAGGACAAGGTGACAAACCTAAACAGGCAAAAATGTGTGCACCATGTCTATGATAACACCACATGTCTGTAACACGCCCGCTCCGCCACACTAGACGTTTTTCACCCTCCCTGAAAAAAATCCTAGGGGAAACATTGAACAAGCCATACAACTATAGTATTTTGCAACAGAAAATGTCGGGCTTCAGCGCATACAACTGTGTTGTTGTTTTCTAAATCTATAAGTGGAGTTTGGTTTGGAGACTCTGTTGTGCTTGAGCCAGTCTTTTGTAATAAATTGTTATAAATTACCCAGCAGTATAAAGTCACTGATATTAGCCTTTACCAGCTGCAACATTAGTAATGCTTACACATTAATGCATCACTAATTATAATCCAGTAATATAATTTTGCCTTTCTGTATAAAGAGTACTTTAATTTTTGATAGTAAATTTTGATTCTACTTATGTACTTTTACTTAAGTAAGTAAAGAAGAAGTTCTTAAATTGTGAATGCAGAAATTGTACTTGTAACACTGGATTTTACACTTTTACTGAAGTGAAACACTTATTTTGCCACTGATATAGGCCAATTGTCAATTAATTTACATTACCATCAAACGCTTGCACATCTTTCTTCTGCGTTCTGAGTTAATTGGTGTGATTTTAAAAGTAGCACATATTTTCATACTGCTCTGTGATCTGTAGGTAGGTGTGTACCTAAACGGAATGAGCGACCGTCCAGGGTACATGGCCATTTACTTCCACCTGACCTCAGGCCCAAACGACAGCAACCTCAAGTGGCCGTGTCCGTGGCAGCAGGCAACTATGGTCCTGATGGATCAGCAGTCTGACATCAGACAGCAAATGAACATGCATCTAATGCTCACCACCGACCCTGACGAGATGTCCTCTGATGGTAAGAGTAGGGTGGATAATCTGAATGGACTTTAGCTGTGTTTGTCAAACACTGAATGACAGCTCACCTGTTTCTCTCAGGCACTGAGTACTACTGGGACAATCCCAGGAAGGTCGGCTCTAAAGTGACTGAGTCTGATGGCAGCTTTTACTATCGAGGACCAGGCTTTGGAACAACTGCCTTCATCACCCACAGCAGGCTAAAGAGCAGGAACTTCATCAAAGGAGAAGATGCCTTCTTCCTCTTCAGTCTGGAAGGTGTGGAGTCTTTCAGACACTAATGAGACAACGAGACAGGACCAAAATATCACACACAGCTATACTGTATATCTAAGATCTCTATCACAGCTGTCGTCTACTTTGTCCTCAGACATATCAGGTCTACTGGTATCTCAGCCTCTTCCCCGCTCTGCAGTCCATGCTGATTCCAGTCTGATGAAGGCTGCAGACCAAGGTGCTCCACAAGGAGCTGCTAATAACCCCACAGTGGTCATAGCGATGGCAGGGTCTGCGGCAGCAGCCATGTTGGTGGTGTTCATGCTGATCGTAGTGAATGCCTGGAGGGTGAGGAAGAGACGGCAGGAGAGTGATGAGGTGTTGATCACAAAGAACATGCCTGGATTCATGGAAGTGAGTTACATTAGATCATTCACATAATTCTAAGTTAGGTTAATAATAATTTACTGTAAACTCTAAAGCAAACTGTAAACTCTTAGTTTCTGTTTGGAAAATCTGAGCTAAATGTCTCTCTGTTTCATTACAGGAGAGAACATCTCTTCTCATCACTCCATGATGTCCCAATCAAAGAAAAAAAATCAGCACTTACCAGAAGAGAGAGGGCATTACCAAATGATCTCTATAATCAGAGTGTCACCTGAATCCTTTTCATGTATAATCTGAATTTGTTGTTAGAAATAAAATATATTCTGACAGCATTCATGTCCAAATCATTTCTTCCCTTTAGCAAAACTTCGTCATTACCAGTCAGTGAGTGAGAGTGATTTATAGTAATGTGGTTACTTTCAAGGGTCCTCAAAGATATACATTTAAGCTGTAAGGTATGGTTGTAACAACGTTTGCTTCAGCAACTATAATTCACTGAATTTTTATCTAGAGTTCTCAACATTTTATACAAAGTACCCACATTTGTTCACTACAAATGGCACCAATTCAGTCCTCTACAAGAATATCACAGACCTCATGAACTGATGTCAAATGCCTTGTGTTCCCTTGTTACAAACTACCCCACTACCGGGGTAGGATAGATACTAAACAAAATACAGTCTTGGTCAAAAAAATTACTTTTTTTACCTCAAAATCTTTTTTTTTCTCTATATATTCTGAACATACCTGTTTCCAGACTTGACAAACAGCATGCCTGATTGGGGGGAAGTAGGTAAATACTGAAATGATCACATGACTCCTATCTAATTGGTGGAATTACTGTTGTTACAACTCTCCCCATGTTATAACCACACCCGGTCTCCCCTACTAAGGCAGCCTGACGATTTATAATTGTAGTCCCCCAGACATCAAAAGCTTCTTGTCACTGGCTTTGTGGCTCCGCTGCATCTTCATCTTAAGCATTTTGGGGCATTATCTCAGCCTACAGAACTGGGATCCTTGAGCCTAAGATCCTCCAGAGCAGCGGTTCCCAAACTTTTTAGGCAACGCTCCCCCTTCTACATCTTGACCGGGTTGCTGCACCCCCAAACCCCTTCTCTCTGTAGGTTTGCATATATATATATATATATATATATATATATATATATATATATATATATATATATATATATATATATATATTTATTTTTTAACACACACACACATATATAATTTTTTTATTTTATTTACTTATTTATTTGCTCAATGTCCCGCCCACAGCACTATCTGATTGGTATATATTTATTACTTTAAAAAGTAACGGTGACAGTAAAACCTTTTCTCATACTGTAATGGTTAAACTTGTTTTTTTTACAAATCGCACCCTGTCATAGCCTGATAAACAGATAACATGGACAAAAAAGAGGATCCATATGAGAATTTGTAAGTACAGCACGGGTCACTCAGCCTGAGAGAGAGGGAGAGGGAAAGAGGTGTGTGAGAATCCATTTCCTGTGAGATAACTAATAATAATAACGTTTTTAATTTTAAATTAAATATACAAAGTAAAGCTTTCAATTCAGGTTTTATTTCATGAAAAATTCCACAAAACAAATAATTATTGTTATTATATAATTGTTATACTTATTACACTACTTACACCACCATTACATTTTTCCTGTCGCGCACCCCCAAGTATTGAACATCCAAAGTGACAGTACTGAATGAAAGAATAAATAAATAAATGGGGAAATAACAGCAAGAAAGAATGAATGAATAAAAGAATAAATAAATAAATGCGGAAGTATATCAAAGAAAGAATGAATGAATAAAAGAATAAATACATACATTTGCTTTTGCCTTTCCCCAAGGAGCCCTTTTGTCATTGCTTTTCCCTTCCTCTTCCTTAACTGTCAATCAACGTGTTGTGGCCAACCCACTAAGTCAGGTCGAGCAGCCGATGACTGATACTATCTTCAGTGAGGATTCGCTGTCCCTGGAAGAGTGTTATGATTGGTAGAAAGTTTAGAAGGAGTTAAGTCAAGACCGGTCGGAACTGGGATATTTCCCAGTTGAAACTTCCGACTTCCCACATCAAAGCGTTCCAGGTGCATGGTGATACATGACACCGAAAGTGAACGAAAACCATGGCTAACTGTGACAACGTGTACACAGTTGCACTCTCAGCAGTGAAGAATGGCAGTTTAACTGCAACAAATTAATATAACATAAATAGCCTATAGTTACTAGTTAAAGGTTCAGTGTATAATATATGTGAGGATCTATTGACAGAAATGCAATATAATATCCATAACTATGTTTCCAGTGGTGTATAAAGACCTTGCATAATGAACCCTTATGTTTTTATTACCTTAGAATGAGCTATTTATATCTACATACACGAGACACACCCTGCTGTGGAGGTCGACATATTGTGTTATCATGTTTCTACTCTAGCCTACAGCGAACAAACAGCACTGCAGAGCGCGTTTCGTTACTACCATGAAAGAGAAGCAGCAGAAGAAGTAGGAGCAGAAGAAGTAGGAGCAAGAGCAAGAAGAAGTTGTACGTTTCTAACTACTAACGTTAGGTAGTAGTAGAAGCTCTCCTTTATTAGTAGTGGAATTTTGGACAAATGGAGGACCGCAGCTATTATTTAGCACAAGAGCCGACGGAGGGTGAATCTGCTTCGAAGAAGCGAAAGCATGATGAAGTCAGACTTATACGGGAGCGACGCAGGCAGAAATCACAGGTAAACATCGGTGTGGCTTTTCCCAGATGGAAGGGTCTAATGAGGGAAAAATGTTTTCAAAGCGACACCGAAGTTGCCTGTTTTCTGATGGACAGGTAAGGTAACGTTATTCCAACTTTAGCATTACAAATGAAAACTGTTGTTTGATAATGTTAGCATTAGCCAGAAGCTAGCCATAGACACCGTGAGAAGTGACTTATCCCTTGTCAGTGGTGTAAAATATGTAGTTGGATAGTTTCATGTGGTTCTTCTCCCTCGCTGTGTTATGGCTTCGATATGTGGGGATAAATGTGCCGGTTACGTTCGTGAGACAATCAGCTGATTAGTAGCCTACAGCTAACAGCTCATATTAGCCAGCTAAACTTTTACTACCCTGTTAGAAGAAATATGTAACGTTAGTTGGATTGTTATTTCGAAGGTTGTTCTGCAGCGCTTCGGCTTCGTTTAGTGAACAGAAATGTGTCTTTTATGATTGTGAGACAATCAGCTGATGATTACAATTAGCTAAAAAAACGTAACATTGCATGGAGCATGGTGGCTCAGATTAGCAAGCTAAATGTTTACTGCCGTGGGGGAAAACATGTATTTTTACTGCTAACAGCATTACGATAACAACACTGTGTGCTTATCAAGTGACTAATTATGCTTATTGTCAGAATTTACATTAGAAACAACGTATTTGTTTGTATTGCTTCTACGGTGCATACAAAGGTTACTACAAGCTCAAATTATGGCACTCAGTACTTATTTGTGTTATATTATATTGTAGAGCACCCTCGATCCTCACCTGACTATGGCTTTGTAAACTTACCCATGATGTGGTTTATAATGGACCGTGGTACAGAAACAGGGAAATTTTTACACACTCTTGGCTTACGTTTTCCATGTTGTCTGTCGGTGATCATACTTGCACTAGATGTGATAGTTTTTGGGATGTTCAGTTTATTAGGCAAGATGAGCAAACCCTACAAAGATGTAACACATTGTGGATTAAAGTACAGTAATGTATTACAGTCAAGTAGCACTTCATTTATTGAGGCCGCTGTTTCTCCAGCTACGAGACAGGTCCTGCAACATCGACTCCCTTGAAGAGAAAACCTTTGCAAGTCCCAGCTCCAGCATTGTCTAGCATTGGTGCTTCTAGTGGAACAGACCGGTAAGTCATGCATAACAATATAATAATTTTGTCGCTTTGATTAGAAACATAAAATTTATGATTAGTGTTTAATAGTGTGTTATTTTATTTTTGGTATATCTACTGTTGAATGAGCATATGTGGGATTTACACAACTTGCTGTGGTTATTCTTTACAGAGATGAGCATCTTGATGTCATTCCCGAAGCCACAGAAATTCAGGGCCTCGAACAAAGGTAACATGTACACATCATAACTTTTAGCCCTGTATTGCTTTTCTCCAAATGTTCATAATATCTATTTGTAATATGTTTTTTGCAGCTTACATGACATGAGCATTGTTGAGGAGGACTTGGAGGAAAATGTTTTCAATGACCCAATGAACAGTAGTATTTCCTAATTACATGTATTATTTTTCCTTGATATTATTTGAGAACTTGTTTTTATCTGAAAGTTGTCATTATGTAAAGAATTGATTGGGCAGATGAAGCTTCATCTTACTCCCTTGAAAGAGATGATGGACAGAATGGTTTCAGCTCTGATGAAGAGGATCTTCCACCGATTTCTATATGGTGTGTTATTTGTCAGTCTCAATTTGCAATTGTTTTGTGGTGTTTGTTTACTACAGATTTTTGTGCCTCAATAGAATGGGTGGAGCACTGAAGAAAGCACACTCTATCGATGGACTTCCTTGCCTGCACATGAAGACACTCCTGATGAGCCTTCTCCCTGTGATCATGACCCTGTTTTCCCAGAACCACACAATGTCCTTTGTGAAGATGACGTACGGACAAGCTTACATCAGAAATAAAGCTAGTGGAGATCTGCACAGATGCTCATGCCCAGATTGGTGCACTTATGAGTGAGTATTCATGTGATATATTGTATGGATGCATGTGTATAACAGCAATATAAATTATAGTAATATGACATTATTTACCGCTTCATAGACCCAGACAAAGGCAAATACAAGGCCCTTGGAATTCATCACTGTCTGGACATATGGCATGGTGCGAAGAACCATAGTCAACCATTTTCTTGTAAGCACACAATTTTATTATATCTTTGAGTAATTTAATTAATTGCTATATTAAGGACATATTTATAGTGCAATTTTATGTTTTGCAGGCATTATGGGTTGGCATCCTTCACCATGTCTCAACATTCACACATGGACTATGGGAAGTTGCAAACACGGGCACCTTGAATCAGATCAAATGCGGGGAAAGATGTGGATCCAGAGACTCCCAGTGCCACAAAGCTTTAGTGGATATAGTTCTCGATAAGAGGTGGCAGAAAGATGTTCACAACTATCTGGGATTCAGGTAGTGTTGCTATACTTTTTCACACTGATGTATATTAGTAATATTTATGCTTACTGCTCATGTACACAGAAGTATGTATGTATTTGTTTGTTCTATCAGATCGACTGCAGACCTAGAGTCATTCCAGAATCATATCCTGATGTATGCCAGCAAGCGCTTTGCTTTCAGCCCCCCAGTTTATGAGGCAAGAGTTCTGCTTGCTGCTTTGTACTACAATTTCCATCTGAACCGACCAACAATGAAAACGTTGGACGGCAAAGAGACGTACGTTTTACACTTGTATAATATTCCCATTCATAGTACAATATTCAGCCCATGTTTTATTTGCAATTCATTGTCTTTACTTTCAAAGTTTTCTCTTGTTCTACTTACAAACTGATATTAAATGGTTGTAATTTGTGTAATTTCAGTTTCAGAAGATTGTATAAGAAGAATGGTATGCCTTGAAATCTGAAAAACCTACGGATACATTTCTGAGTTGCAAAGAAGGATTGTGAAGTACAGACTCACAAGTGGAGTGGGGATGCCTAGAAGGAGGAGCCTTCTCCCAGGTGACCCCAGACAGCTTGGTTTGGTGCCCCCCGTACCTGCACCAGCCACATCAGACTTGTTGCAGAGACAAGTCAGAAGAGGTCTAGGTATGTTACACAAATGTGTTGCCTATGTTGTACCATATTACATGTCACTGAATGATATTTACATTAAATATAGTCTGTAACTATGTTTGATGGCACTGTCTTCAACAGGACCGTTATTCCAACCAGTATCTGATGTGGAAGGATCCCCACAGGAGATTCCTACCCTCCTACAGTGGTTATTTCATGTTTTTCCAATTTGTACACGTTTCATCTTATTCTGCTAAGTCCACTGTGACCAGCGCATATTATTTTCAGTAGGTAGCCTAAATTACAGTTTACAATTTGAACAGTAATGATAAGTAAGGCTACAGCTACAGTCCCCTATTATTATGTAAATATAAATAACTAAAATAGGTATTGGAAATGTTATGTAAGTTTGAAATTCTAAACACATGTTCAAATGTATATAATGAAAATAAAAACAACATGTGCTTCTATTTCTTACCTTTTATTTTTTCAATACCATAGAACTGCAGTTGAACAACTATAACACCATATAACTATACAACATACATCAAATTTAAATAAAGAGGGGAGAAATATGAATAAATATATATAGAAATGTAATAATAAATCAAATGTTAACTATGTACATTTGTTTGATGCCTTGATGATGCTGAGGCAGGTTTGTGAGTATTTGTGTGAAACTGTATGACCATGCCAGAGGGCCTGGAAGGAAATTCACAGTCCAGGAATAAAACCCGTGTAGTGTCCTTGAGGATCAGGGAACTTGTCTCTAATCCTCCAAACACAACAACTAGGGACGACAAGTTGGTTTCCCTGTCCTAAAGCTCCATGTTGCCAATAGATGAAGTGTCTATAGGCACCATAGCGGTACTCCCTATTGTCATCCCCAGGCTCCCTGATGTTGCCTAATGCCGTAATGTCTTCCCGGTACTGCTTGTGAATGCGAATAAAGCCTTCTTCAAGGCACTACTGGGAGAAGTGTGGCAGTAGGCTCACACAGTTCGCTTGCTCCTGGCCACAGCATTTCCCTACAGTTAACACAAGTAAACCAAGGTACTCCTGGCACTCCGGCAGAAGGTGGGGCACCATGTCTGCGCTGATGCATCATCAAGGCATCGAAGACCAGGTCTGGCTGCCTCTCCAGCAGAAGGGAGGAGAACTCTGTGTTCTTCAAGGGTCATCTCTTGAAGAAGAAGTCTGAAGAAAGAGGACACAGGGAAAAATACTCAATATGCAACATTCTCTGCTTCAATACTCTGTCTCGATGTTGTTTTTAAGATTGTATCCGTTCCAAATGAAACATACCGGTACTCATTATTACTATTAATATCTAATGCACTACTACTATTTATCATTACACTTCAGTTGATGCTGTAAATTACTTTACATGTCCACGTTACCTTTATTTAGATTTAGATTTCATAATTTTTATATTTAATTGACATGCAAGCTTAGCAATTGTGACCAAGAATTTCCCCTTGGCTATCAATAAAGAATTTGTGATTCTGATAAAATAAGGCTTTATAAGTTGCATGACATTATGTTGGCAACATGGTACTGCATATTAGGGTTAGCGGGCTGGCCAGTGTTTGCTCAACTTGTATAATATGGCTTCATATAATCATTGTTGCCCAGTAAATGACATGGTACTACTATCTAACGTTACAGTACCAGGGGTACATGTGCACAGAGCTGCTATGTAAATAACGTTATCACTGTACAACAACCGTATAAATACAAACCTCGGTAACAGCCCTCGGGTTCCTTTGGAGGGCTTCCACTCTTTCTTCGTCCTCTATTGAGCCATCACTCTAGGTAGGTCCTCTGCCTCTCCTTGCCCTGGCTGCACCTCCAACACCTCTGCCTCTCCGCCCTCTTCCTCTCCCTCTCTTACAGTTATCTCCAGTAAATGGACTTCTGCATTTAGATCACATTGACATGTGCTGGTTCTGTCTAACATTAGCTTTTTCCTTCTTCTTCTTCCTTGTGCTTTTATTGTCAGTTGGCAAACAACAAATTGGTGCATTACCGCCACCAACTGGTATGGAGTGTGTATCAAACCATTATACATCTCTGATCATGGAGAGAAATACTTCTGTGAGTGATTAGTTAGACTTAGTGGGCGGGCCACAGCACGTTGATTGACAGTTAAGGAAGGGGAAGGAAAAAGCAATGACAATAGATCTCTAAGGGAAAAGCAATGACAATAGGTCTCCTTGGGGAAAGGCAAAAGCAATTCATTCATTCATTCTTTGATATATTTCTGCATTTATTTATTTATTCTTTTACTCATTCATTCTTTCTTGGATATATTTCTGCATTTATTTATTTATTCTTTTACTCATTCATTCTTTCTTGGATATATTTCTGCATTTATTTATTTATTCTTTTATTCATTCATTCTTTCTTGCATTTATTTCCACATTTATTTATTCTTTCATTCAGTTCTGTCACTTTGGATGTTCCATACCCAAGAGGCACCTCACACACCTCCAGGGGTGCGTGCACCACACTTTGGGAATCGCTGCTCCAGAATAAATGTAATACATATTCATAAGACATCAGTTAGGGTTGCAGCTACTATTGAGGACACCAAGTCCATAATACTGTCTACAGCCCTGCATTCAGCTGGTTCCTGTTCAGTTTTACAATTGAAAGAGATAGGGGAGACTGGGGGCAATTGTAACATCTCAAATTGCACCAATCAGAAACAAAACAGAACCATGAAACTTATCATGAACGCGCTCTGTGACCATCCCTCTCTGCCTGCCGAAGGACAAGCCGATGAGACATTCTTGTCAAAGTTTTTCAGCCAAGAGTCATTTTTGAGCTATGAAAGTAATTTTTTTCATCTACAGTATTTTTCTCATACTGTCATAACCATTAATATCTATGAATTTAAATCTGTCTTTTTTGATCATCATTCTGTTGTCTAACATTTGATATCTTTGTCAAATATAAACTTCATTGTTTCTAGCCAGCAGGGTAGCTTGTCATGGAGGAGTTACAGAGACCAATTAAAATAGTGTCGGGCTTAGAAACAACATAAAAATATATGTTTGTTTGTGGTCAGTTTAAATATCTATATCTATCTATATCTATATATAGATATATATATATAAATTATATAATATGTCTTTTGCAGCATAGTCCAATTGCCTTTTCATTCTGGGGACCGGGGTTCAATTCCCACCAAGAGCCAATTGCTCATGCTTTCAATATCTTCAGTGTTTACAAATGAGAAGTTGTCACAATGTTAAATACTCTAATAATAATCTATCAACATATTTATCAAGAGATCAACATTGTTTAGATTTTTGGTTTGTAATAGTAGCATTGTATTGAAGCTCAATATAACAAAGAATAGATGATAGCATCTTTCTAATAATGTTCAGTTTTAACATTTATGTACCTACTTTACTAGGGGCATAGTCCAGAGGTTCAAGTTTTTGCCTCTCAGTTTGGGGATCCATTTGATGGGGAGGTCGCCTCCGATGATGTGTTGAGGGCAACTCAGTGCTATGACATTTGTCATGTGTCCTTGTACCACTTAATAAAAAAGAAGTTTCAAGCAGTAATATCAATGGATCTTAAATTGTTTTAACTATATCTATATTCTTGGTAGTTTATTTTGATCCTTGGTATCTTTATGAAGGAATTATGTGTTGTTACAATTGCAACCCATATGCTGTTACAATCGCCCCTGCAGGTGGGGGCAGATGTAACATTTTACATCAAGTGTTTGAATCAATATTGTGACTTTAACATTGCTTGTAAAAACATTTGATGACTGTTAACAAGTAAAACACAGGTACAAGTTACCTCTATAAAAATTGTATCCAAGTAGTTCAAGAAGTTTTTGAGTTACAACCAAGAAACCAAAAATTGTTACAATTGCCCCCGGTCTCCCCCTACTACACACCTGAACTTACATCTATCACAAGATTGTCAGATCAAGGACGCCTTTCACATCTGACACCAAAGAGCATCTCTGAAAAAAGAGGATATTATTTCAATTTCCAAGGGTAAAACCTTGCTGAAGCTGCTGTGAGGGTTTGCCATTCATCTGCCAGATGCTGAGTGTAGTTCCAGCAGCAGCCACAGAGAGGCACCACACACAACAGTATTGGTCAGAGTGATTGTAAAAAGGGATTACGTACTGACCCCTGTGTGCAATCTAAACAGTAAATAGTCAAGTCATGTTGTTACACATAACTGTAGAGATGGGAGGTGACTGACAAAGGAAGCTGTGAGCAGGTCTGAGGGGTGAGGATGATGGACGTTGGAACCCGTGCTTGAAGTGGAAAAACATAGGTGCCAGTACTCCCCCTCCCATCCTCAACCACAAGATAAAACTAGTAAATATTATAAAATTAACGACTTTGCGCATTAGTCACTTAATTTGCTGCATTCTGAACACATTTTCTGCACCAAGTTATGGAGGAAATGTCTTATTATGATGATGACCACTGTAACCAGACCCACACAATGCTGAACCAGAACCGAAGAAACTATCATAAAATACAGTCTGCATTATTATCTCTAATTTCTAATTCTTATCATCCTCATCAAGTTTAAAGTTTCAACTTACTCTTGTAATCTGCGTCCAATAAAGCAGTAGTCATACACTGTTGGCTGAATTTTTAAACAAATGCCAGGTTTAAGCCGTTATACGGCGGCCAGAACAAAGTCAAATTATTTCAAATCCTTGTACACTCATGTGCATGTTTAGCTCAGTACTGTGCGGGACTCCCGTTAGGAAGATTGGAAGATCACTTCCAATTAACTGCGTATATTTTTCCTTCCTTGTTACTTGATTATAAGGACACTTTTGCACATGCTCACAATAAGGCACGTGCTGCAGTGTGTGTGCGCGTTTCCGCATTCATAAACCTATGGACGCTTATTTTCATTTCCCTGAGGAAATTCTAAAACTAATCAGACATCAGCTCCCCTAAAAGCATGATTTGTGATATATTGGGGGTCTCTAAAATATTGACAGCATGCTTTATTGACATTAATCTTATCGTGGATCATGCGGAGCGTCAGACTTCATCCCGCCAGAGGAAACAATCACTGACCGACCTCAGCGGGCCAGTCGCTCCGCAATCTCCTGTCCCTGGTCCGCCCCACTCCCTCTCCGTGCCGACAGGCTGTGAACGGTTCGTGATCATTGGCTGGATGAATATTACGCATGATCCATGCACTACCGCAACTGGGGGGCTCTCTGCAGCGCCACGCAACTTTCTACATTCTTCCCAGAGGTGTGTCAAGCAAGACAGAGACTCTTTTGAATGTCCTTCAGAACTCTTCAAAGTAAAAGCTTTCAATAAACTCAACATAAAGCATTGCCCGCAATAAACGTTCTCGCGCTTTTATTTTGCAATCACTTAAGAGGAAGTGATTGTGAGTAACTGTATCTGTCATGACTGATATCTATTTCAGCACCAGCCTATCAATTTATTTATTT